CATATATTGTCACCCCACAGGGCATCATCATGTCCCTATGGGGCATCACCACATCCCAGAACATCACCATGTTCCCAGGCATCATCACTTCCTGGGGCATTGCCACCTCCCAGGGCATCACCATGTCCCTGGGCACTGTCAGGTCCTGGAGCACTGCCATGTTCCTTGGCCTCATCGTGTCCCTGGGCATCATCACATCCTGGGGTATTGTCACTTCCCAGGGCATTGTCACCTCCCAGGGCATCACAACCTCCCTGGGCATTGCCACCTCGCTGGGGCACTGCCAGCCCAGCTCAGGGGGCTGACCCTGCCCAGGATGGGCACAGGGGACCCCCCCAAAATGCCAGGAGCCCTCACCTTCTCCTTGCGGGCCAGCGTGGGGTGCACGAAGCGGCGGTAGAGCAGGCTGGCCCCCCGCGTGTACGGGGACAGCAGCCAGAGCACAAAGGCCATCTTCACCTCGTAGTAGAACGGGAACCTGGGGCACAGGGGGACACCGTGGGCACATCCTGCTCCCCCCAAACCTGGAGATCCCATGTCGGATCCACCCAGGGACGGGGAGGGGGGGGACACCTTCCTTCCACCCCTCAGGGCCCCTCCCCAGCTCACCAGGAGATGAGGAGGTCAGTGAAGGTCTCCGTGGCCATGAAGAGTGCGAAGACGATCCAGTACATCATCCAGCGGACCTGTGGGAGCAGGGAGCACGTCAGGGGGGGCTGGAGCCTGGGAAAGGGGGGCTGGAGACTGGGAAAGGGGAGCTGGAAGCCATTAGTGAGGGCTAGAGCCCAGGAAAGGAGGACTGAAGATTGGGAAAAGGGGACTGGAGACTGGGAAAGGGGACTGGAGGCTGGGAAAGCGGGATTGGAGACTGGGAAAGCGGGATTGGAGACTGGGAAAGGGGGATTGGAGACTGGGAAAGGGGGATTGGAGACTGGGAAAGGGGGATTGGAGACTGGGAAAGGGGGATTGGAGACTGGGAAAGAGGGATTGGAAATTGAGAAAGAGGGATTGGAAACTGTCAGTGGGGGCTGGAGCCTGGGAAAGGGGGACTGGAGCCCAGGGAAAGAGGGGGGCTTGAGATCAGGAAGGGCCCAGGGAAAGGAGGGGTTGGAGCCCACCAGTGAGGACTGGAGCCTGGGAAGTAGGGCTGGAGCCTGGGCAAGGGGCTACTCACGTATTCCCGGATGTTTTTGGCCTTCACAGCCTTGTAGGACGCGTAGGCCGGGTAGAGCATCCCAAAAACCAGCCTGTAACACAGAGGAGGGGTGAGGCAGCCCGGCCAGCCCGCGTAGAGCAGCAGGAACAGGGACCAGCAGAGCCGGCGGCCCCAGAGCCAAAGCCGGGCTTTGACACCCCCCAGCACCGCCCCCACCCCGGAGCCGCCGGGAAAAGGGTCGGGAAAGGGGTCGGGAAGAGGGTCGGGAAGAGGGTCAGAGCCACCTGGGAGCCGCCGTGGGGAGCCGGCCATGAGCACCGAGTCACTCCCACGCCCACGGGGACTGGCTGGACCTGTCGGGGCGGTGGCAGGAGGAGGTGGCAGGGCACGGGCTCAGTCCCCGCCGGTGCCAACCCCCATCCCGGGGGTGCCACCCCCAAAACACCCACCTCGTGTGCCGGGCACAGCCGGGCACCCCGACACCCTCCTGTACCTGGGGCGGGGGAGCTGGGGGCACCCACGGCTCCCTTCTGCCCCACGGGGGGCTCGCCAGGCACGGGGGGCCACTGGGCACCTAGCCCAGATGGCCACGGTGTGGGAGACAGGGGGGCGAACGGGGCTGGGGAGGGGGGACCCTCCCGGTGATGCAGGGGCCCCTCAGTTGATGTAGGGACCCTCCTGGGTGATGTGGAGACCCTGCGAGCAGGGACCCTCTCCAGGCGATGTGAGGACCCTCCGCAGGGACCCCTTTGGGTGATGCAGGGACCCCTTTGGGTGATGCAGGGACCCTCCCAGTTGATGCAGGGACCCCTCCCAGGCAATGTAGGAGACCCCCTCTGAGCAAGAACCCCCTCCCAGGCGATGTAGGGACCCTCTGAGCACGCCCCCCTCCTCCGGGGCGATGCAGGGACCCCTCCGGGGCAATACAGGGGAC